CCTTGATGGATGTATTGTGACGTATTTTAACCCCGGATTTTGACCTTGCGTTCCGGCTACATGTAATGCCCTTTCATACCAGTTGAATTTCCTTTCATTATTACATCCAAATGTCATGATATTTAATAATTAAAACCAACGTTTATTTCACAGTTTTCACTTTTCTAAAAATATTTTACTGATCAAAGGACTTTTCACTCCCATCATGCAATCTTCCATAGTACTTCCACAGACACAGCGGGATCGCCAACATATCTACAAATAACCTCGCTCTCAGGAGCTGAGGAATAATATTTAAAAAAAATATTATACAACTGTCTGATAGTGGAAATTATATGACGCCTCCAAAATGTTCCTGATTCGTAAAGACTTGACCATCCCTCCCAATATCTAACTGTGCTCGTCGTCGTGTAGAGCGTTCTCAAATTGGGTGTGTTGTATACGTCACGCGGGATTCGCATCGACCACGACGCGCCGCGATGATCAGAGTCTTCAAAATAATAGTGTGACAGTCAACGTGATTTAGACTTCTTTTTGCTTTTTGGCAAGTGGAATCCAGTATCTCAATGTCTGACGTTTTGCTGGTTAATGGGATTGATTTCTTCTTTGTATTTAGTTCTCAAACCAATTATATCAACTGTTTAAGGTAGAGATGCAGTTTACCTGACAGGTATTTTGATTAGTTGATTAGGAAACCAAGATGACCTCCCTTGTCCACAAAACTATATATTTTCGGAAAGCTTATTGTACGAATTTTAAAATTGTGTAAGTAGTTTTTTTTATAGACACTGTAGTTTGAAATATGCACAAAAATGTGCTTTTTTGGTCAAAGTGATTTAAAAAAAATTAGCTTCTAAACTATGCTTCTGTTTTCTGTCACAATTGGTTAATGGGCACATCTCTTTACTATGAAGAAAGTGCCGTATTGAAAACTGTCTATCAGTTGTCAATTGTGCAGGGCTGCAACTCAAATTTCACTACTTCAAGTTTATGCATAAATTAACACCCAGGCTAGTTGTCTGTACGATTGTTGTAACACTGTTCAACCAAAAACAATGCCCAGACGGCGTTTTGAAGATACACACATTGTCAATCATTTGTGAAAATTTCAAAACAAAAGGTCAAAGCGTCTAGGAGCTATTTTTTTAAAGTTCTGGGATGTGCACTAAAAAGAAGCTGAGATAATGGCTAATTTGCATAACAATTCACTCAGTAAGAAGTTTGATAATGCTCATAATTAAAATGGCCGTAACAGTTCCAAATTTAAATGTATTATCGTTTTGTAAAAAGTTAAATATAGTGCATAATATGGAGATCCCGTCATTTCTTGTTTTCACCATGGTTCTTTTTTATTATTTATGTACTGGATGTGCTGGAATGTGCAGTAGACTAACAATAATTTATTTGACTGCTGGCGTGTGTACGTCAGACGAAAGATAATAACAAACTTAACTCTAGTACATATTTGACTGTCAGCTCGAATTATGTATTTGTTTCCCGTCAACATTTAGCGTTGACAGATGATTCAATTCATTGTTTCAAATCCTGTCATCCGAAATTACAAAGACATATTTATTCTGAGAGATTACAATATAATAAAATAATAAATAAATTTCAAGACCAAGGCCAGTGTCATAATAATACAATTATTAGGGGCCCAAGCCCGAAGGGCGAGGCCCCTATTCTTATTGTCCGGTTTTTAGGGGCCCAAGCCCAAAGGGCGAGGCCCCTATTCTTATTGTCCGGTTTTAGGTGA